TTTTTTACGGCATGCACTCACGTGATATATTTGGGCTCGTTCGTCCCCACCAGCACCTGTCCCGACTCCCCACGAGCTTGCTGAAAGAAGAAAAAGAAGAACGTCTGTCCTCCTTTTTTCAAGGTCTGACTACAGGAGGACTAGTAAGGCCTTCGTGAATCGTCAGCGCTAGCCTTCGTAGATATGATTTCCGATTGCGACTTTCTTTCAGAATACAACATCCATTAAGTTTTGTCACTGGTCAGCATCTCATCAGGCCGGCCCTAGGATTGATTCGATTGCTACGTTTGAAGTTCACGCCATGGTTCATGTCTTGAACCCGGCGCTATCATGATGTTCGTGATAGGCCCAAGGAACTCATGCATAGTATTGATCTCTGTGCAGCGTGGACGGTGATGTGACGTTGTCAGCCACTTAGATCCGACCTGACTCTTTTGTGACTTGTCAGCCGCCTGGACTCTGGATCGGACTTCAGCGTGATTTTTGAGTCGTTTCCGTCAGTCACCTGGATGTATCCTTCGTAAGCAGGCCTGCTACCTACTAGCATCGGATCTGGGTACGAGATGTTCGGTTGGATTTATCGATTTTTATTCAGTTCACAAAATTAATCAACCTTTCCGCGAACTGTACCGGTTTATACTGAGCAGACGCAGAGTGTCATATGGATGTGGCTTTCGAAGTTAGGCAGGTTCAGGCGTTCATCTACAACACAATGGTCAGTGGTCATGGGCACCTGTAAGCGGTGCTCGGTACTACTAGTACCCGTCAACCGCATCTCAGCGTCTATGCGAAATTACTCGCCATGGTCCCTATCCTAATAACAGCCCAAGCGCTCAAGCCTGTACATCTGATTGTGTCAACCAAGGGTCAACCATCTATCGGTCACACCGCTTACCACGGGGCGCTTGCAAAAGTGCCCAGTGTCCGAACCTGGAATAACATTTGGAACTTCCAGTGTTAAGGTTCATCAATAATCATCTATGGGCGTATCTGAGCCTCGTGTGAGAGATAACGACTATAAAACGGCCATCAGAATACCTCCTGACTGCCCCCATCATCTTTTCGCCCCCATCTGTACTTTGGCATAGTGGCTTTATCCATAACAGCAGCAAGGATGCAAACAAATGAACCGGTAATCCCTGGGGCATTAGCAGTAGGTTCAGTTAATATTTTGTGATTCTCGGTTGTAACGTTTCTCACAGGAAAATGTCCCTGAGCTCCCACTCGACAAAACGGAGGAGGCTGGACACCATTACTTGCGACGTTGGCGGATATGGGCTCCAGTCAAGCCGGATAATCTAGTTGCATGGCCACCTCCAACGCCAGGATGGGACGCTCAAGCCGTGCAATACGCTTGGCAACCATACGACCCATCATCTGTTCAACCCGCGCCACCTCGCGAGGACATTGACAATTACTTTTATCTCGACATTCGTCATCACCGGGAGGGTAAGATATCTTATGTATCACCTCCGGCTCCGTGCTTACCTCTTCACAGCGGAACCTGATGTGGTTTTCAGCCATTTCAGCGCCACCTTGATCGACTTCCTGCGGTCTGTGATTTCCGAGTATTTTCCTCTGCGATATCCTTATTCCATCTTCTCAGCATGGTTATCGGTGGAGAATTTTTCAACTCGAATCCGGAGTCGCCTCTCACTCACCTTGTATTCAAACTCGACGACCTCAAGGACCACCTTTCGGACGCCCGCTCAGCCTTGTCTAACCTTTCCGGGAAAGAGTTGCAGACAAAAGCACACGATCTTGGCCGCTTAGACTCACTGTCCCGTATGCGTCATTTGTGTCTGCGGTACTTCTGTCGGATATTAGCTAACGCTCCACTTCAGCGCAGAAAACCGAACAGGACGCCCAGAAGTACCTCGAGGATCTAGTTGATCATTTGGACGTTCTTATACCTTTGGTCGAGGAAGAGTTCAAGCCCATGTGAGCATCTCTGTATCACAGAAGCAAATAAATGTTCATCCCTACCTTTTCAGATCCAAGCGCCTAGAATTAGAGCTATCTTACGGCCACATTTCATTTGATCTTCTCATGTACTATTTCAAGAAAGGGGGGAAATACTATTACGATGATCTGGGTGACCAGGTCAGTCATTATATTTGCCGAAGTGTACTAAGCGATTTATGCTGGTTAGCTGGCGTTTGTACTGGATAGCACGAGCAAAGACTTGTCTTTCGGGCAAGGATGTTTTCGCCAGTATTTTCGTTCAAATTTTGACCCAACTTCAACTTTCAGAACCCTTAACCTCCAAGGCCATGGTATGACGTGGGATGGCAATTGTTACGTCCACGATATGAGACTTGTTGACATTCATCGTTACCCCGTAAGCTGAACCTTCTTACTAACACTGCGGCTATTCACGCATGGTATTTTAGGGGACAAAGGCATTGTCTGATCTTCAGTGCAAAATTATGTCAGATGACGTACACCAAGAACTGACTGGTGCGCCTCTATTTGCCACGATTAATGAAGCGCGTCTCTACATTCATTCATTCAGAGCGCGGAAGATTGTATGCTGCTGTATCGGGTGTCCATTTCAAGGCCTGTGCGTAATGTTTGATGTCTCATTGTGTTTGGCTGACCTATCGCCCCAAGGTGATGGTGTAAGCTCTTCATCACTCTCATTCATGAAGCTTGACAAAGTTCTCAGCGCCGCGTGATTATTGATCAAAAAGGCTATGACGAGAGGGAGCTAGAGTCACAGTAACCACCCTCCGATCTCGATGTCGTGATTGATATGCTAACTCAAGGCTTAGTGGATATGTTCCACATTCAGGTAGATACCGCACGGCGTCTCCGCCACCGCCACCTGTGCCTGGTTATTGTGATACACATGTTCCTCGTCCTGGTTCTCCTTATGCGTAAGTACCGTCTTGTTACCGAGCTTCCAACGTTCATGAGCCTTCCGTTAGCGATGATAACGTTGGTGGAGAATGGCAGGAACCTGTGTATGTTCTCGCTAGACCTCGTGGATTCCATGCTTATAATAACATCAGAAAGATGATCGCGGAAGACAAATTGGACCTCTTGCCAGTGAAAGTATATGGTTTCGATGTCCGTCGCAAGGCATGTATAAACCAACTGACATGTCGATCGAACCCCATGCTGACTACCCTTGCATCAGTCTTGGGAGCAGTTTGATGTTCGTAAACTTGAGGAGATCCATTTCAATGAACGTGCTTGGGACCATCTCGTTCTTAATAAAGCGACAAAGGTAAGAACATTGGCAACAGAAGGATCAGCCTCTGATAAGTGATCAGGCTCTTATCAAAGGACTCGTCAATGTCACAAAGACGGCCAATACCTCTAGGGAGGTGTTCTCTGACGTCATTACTGGGAAAGGTGGAGGATTGGTAAGGACACTTTTCTATGCTTGGATGATTCTGGTGTCACCAACACGTTTTCAGATCGCGCTCCTGCACGGTCCGCCTGGGACAGGCAAAACACTAACCGCGGAGGCTGTGGCCGAACACCTGAAACGGCCTCTCTACGTTCTTAGTTCGCTCGAGCTTTCGACTACACCCGCTACTTTGGAGAAAAAGCTGGGTGATATTCTGAAGGTTCGTGAGATGAAATCTTTGTTCGCCCTTTCTTACCTTAGCACTGTTACAGCTTGCAACAACATGGGATGCGGTCGTCCTCATTGACGAAGCCGATGTGAGTTGATTTCGACGCCCACGCTTCATCCTCGTTCCTTATACATATGCTGCACGTTTAGGTGTTCCTGGAGCAAAGGAGTCTTCACGAGGTCGGTTATCATAAATCTCATATGAATCATTATGGTTTCCCTGAACGTTCTTGAAGTTGGAGCGAAACGCCCTCGTTTCTGTTGCTCTCCGGGTGCTCGAGTACCATCGCGGCGTCCTTTTCTTGACTACCAATCGTATCCAGGCCTTTGACGAAGCTTTCCTATCGCGTTTCTCCATCGGTAGTTATCTACCCCATTAATGATCCTTCTCTCATTGATGTCTGTTTAAAGCCGTGAAGTACCCAGACTTGGATGCTGACGCCCGTTTGTCCATCTGGCGAAAGTTCTTCGAGCTTGCTGGGTGCGAGTTGTGGGGCGGCAGTGGACAACCTGGAGATGGACGGCAGAGTCCGGACGGGTTTGTCAAACTCGAAGGACGAGAGCCGCAGTGCTATGTTTCGCTTTCTGACCTGAAGGAACTGGCTGAGAAGCCTTTCAACGGTATGAGCCTATTTTCATGTTCAAAACCTTTCCTTCAACTAATTCCCAATTTGTAGGTCGGACTATCAAGAACCTTGTGCGGACCGCGCAAGCGTTGGCCATGTCATCGTACGTCACATCCTTGCATGATGTGTTCTCCGGTACTTATACTTGTGGATCTAGGGATGAACCACTTTCCCTTGAACACGTCAAGGTGGTGGTTGAAGCGCAAGAGAAATTCTTGACGGAATTCGCTCAAGTCAAATTATGATCGTCGACCTTGCCATTATGACTGTAGTTTGTATTATCGTGTAACAATAGTCGCGCCCTTCGCATGTACGTCACAGATATGATAGATATGATTGATATTTTGCCAGTGCTTACTGTGTGATGTGGAGGAATATTCTCAATGACAAGCTTTTCGATTTTTGAACATGAACACTCTTGTTCTACCAAACCAGAAAGTTTGGATCTCGGAATATCCACCTCTCCGAGCCCATCCAGCCGAAGGGGCCTCGAATCTGTTGTTCTCATCAACTCATTTCATTACACGTACGTGCTAGTGCTTGCCAATTCAACCGTTCGTGTGTATTACTAAAGTTATTCGCAGAGATTTTCAGAGAGATGTCACATGTGGCCTTTTGTGTTCGACAAGGCGCTCCTGTTTCGAACCCACCGTCGTATGAAGGTACTACTATCAAGTACTGATAACAAATCAAGGATCATCGTTAGACGTGCGCGTTGGTTGTGATCCCTTTGGGGACGCCGACTCGTTGAGGAGGCCAGAATATCACGTGTAGTAGTGTCTGCAGACCACATTTCCTCCCGCCATAGCAGCTGTAGCCAGCTCCAAACGTAGCATGGGGCTACGAAACACCACCAGATTCTAGTTTCGTGATGCGATTTTTTAACTAAGACAGGATGTGCAGGAAAAACTTAAGAAACCGGTCGAAGTTCATTATGTCGCTGGCGAAGAAGGGTTCGTGTTGATTGATATCTACTTGGCTCTACATATATATAGCTTGATAGGGAGGCTGTGGCTTTGATTGATTTAAAGATATAACATGCATAACGTACGCACTTATGTGCCAGCGCCATTGTTATCTATTAGAAGGAACGATTTGCCTTCCTTCTTCTATAGGTCCGGCTAGGGGAGACTAATTGTTATCCACTGCCAGATATATTCAGGCTCAAGGTCGTGCCATCGGGGTTAATTGCCTAAAATAAACTCTGGATCCACAGCTATCTACGGCTATCCAAGTAGAACACGCACTATTTCTAGTCACCCTCCAGATTCTGGAGTAGTACTGTACCCACGAGGTCGTCTTCATAACTCTTCAAAACCACGAACCGTATTGACGCATTTGACCCACGGCCTTGCTAGGATCCATAAATCTTTTCAGATATCATTCGATAACCCACTTTGAGCGGTAAGGTGTCCATGGCTAGATTGGCAGCAGCCCCGCGTATGACTGTTATCTGGCGTTGCTGCTGGGAACTATGGAAAGACGACCGCGGAACTAGAAGTAACTTTCACGATGGAAGCACAGGGCTGGGCCCAGGAGAAGTTCTTCGCCGGGTTGGCCCAATGTCAGGGTTTAATTAATTATTGTCGTGTCTTCGTGTGTCTTCGTGTTGCTTGTGTTGTTAGCTGTCGAATTGTTACTGGACCTTGTGCTTATCACCACATTATCCTTAGATTAATATCAAAATAACGCAAGACTGCCTGTACGAAGGGAACAAGAACACGGCAAGACACTCACGTATGTATTCGAGTAGAGATTTGCGTACCAGCATGCGAGAATGAGGATGTTGTCAACTATGTCGTCCGTACGATTGTCTTTCCTGGTTCTAAAAATGAAGTTAGCAAAATAGACTAGAACAAATAGCAATATGATAAGTACCTCAATTGACAGGACATCATTGGACCAGCAATTGCGAGAACGAAGTACATCAGATAGCGAAATGACAACATCCAGCCAGCCTTGCGCCCGAAGCACGGGGGGCTTGTCCATCAGCCCAGGGCTATTAGCCCAGGAGTTAACCTATCTTGCTCCGCGTTGCGGCAATTGGGCTTGCTCGTACGATAGCGGCTGCATCGTGTCATAACATCAAGCCGACCCGGAGATCCAATCGGTGGCCACGCCTGAGTAATGCAAGATCAGGTTGCATAAATATACTGTCCTTCTGCTTCACCTTATGTTAATCGAGGAAATCTTGCCCCAGGCTGAATGTTCAATATATAAGTATATGGGTGATGGTGGCGGCATGGTTACTTGGTGCCAAGGGGCAGCGAGGAGCAAAGGGAGTTATGGCGGCATAAGATGACCTAGAAATATACTTGCCGAGCGATGGTTGAGGTCTTTTCCGGTGCCGTATTACGTAATGATCCGTCCAGTTGCGTCCAGGTAGGGCTGTAACTGAAGGGTCAAAGATCCGAATTACATAGAATCATTCGTCATTGGCTTCGCACTATGTATATAACCTCCATGTCCCAGCCCTACTATAGTACCCACCCCTCTCTGAAACCACATCATGTCAGAAGTCAAGGTTGCGAGCTCAAACGGCATCCCTCCTCCAAGTTTCGACTTGCCAGTAAGTCCTTGTTGTGGTACTCACCCGATCTTTCTGACAAGGCACTAGTTACCTGACAGACCAGACATCATCACAGCCAACATTCAGAAGCTGATCGAGCAAACGCCCAATCCGTACGTGCCAGCATTGCACTTTTAACACAAGTGGGGGTATACATATAACACGTTGCAGACGACACAGGTTCATCTTCAAGACCCTGGTCAAGCATCTACACCAGTTCGTCAATGAGACCAGGCACGTTCATTCCTTGTTGAATTTCCGCTTCTCTACTGACACTCTGGTTATCCCTAGTCTGACCACAGATGAATGGATGGCAGCGATCGATTTCTTGACGCGCACCGGACAAAAGTGCACACCACTGCGTCAAGAAACAATTCTGTTATCAGATATCCTAGGTGTTTCTGCTCTCGTCGACTCGTTAAATAACCCCGTTGCGGGAGGAGCAACTGAAAACAGCGTCCTGGGTCCATTCTTCACGGAGGATGCTGCAGATGGTGAGTTGCAAGTAATCCTAGTACACGTCCGGACTGTAAACGGCGTCGCAGTCGAATTTGGTGAATCCATCGCATCTGAAGGAAAAGGAGATTACATGTACGTTGAAGGTCGGATTTTGACGACGGAAGGGCAACCAATCCCTAATGCCATCATCGACACTTGGGAAACCGATGCCGATGGTTAGTTCCTTCCGATTCTCGTCTTACAGTTCATACTCATCCTTTCCCATCAGGATTCTATGACACGCAATATGCAGACCGCTCGCATCCCGACTGCAGAGGTCGCCTACGCTCTGATGATGATGGCAGATTTGGCTATCGCGCTGTTGTGCCGATAGCGTACCCAGTTCCTGGAGACGTAAGTCAATGCCTCATGCCTACGTGACCTTGGCCTGAAAATGCTCTCTCCACATAAAAGGGTCCTGTTGGCGAACTTCTTTGCCTTCTTGGTAGGCACAACATGCGGCCAAACCACTTACACATGATGGTCGAAGCCCCTGGTTTCCACAAGCTCGTCACGGCATTGTATCCGGAGGGTTGCGACTACCTGAGAAGCGACTGTGTCTTCGGTGTCAAGAAATCCTTGGTAGTGGTATGTCTAGGTTCCCAAGTTTCTTGGCTACTTTATTTGACACTCCTTCTCAACAGAGCTTGAAGGACATTGTAGACGACGAGGAAGCTCGTAAACGCGGATTTCCTCGCGGTGGCTCATTCAAGTTATTGCAATATGACATTATATTGCTCACGGAAGAGCAATCTGCAGCGATACGTACTCGCGTTGAAGAGGAACGCGGCGTAATTACGGGGGATGAAAAGTACTGAATAGACAATCTACAACATTATCATTATGCACTCCCAATATTCGACTCTTTACATGCTTTCTTGTAGTATCGTCACCACGCCAAGCTGGTACCATGGGGTATTTCCCATTTAACAAACCAAAGAACTGCTACCAACCTGGTATGCATGGAGGAAAAATGAATCTTTCAAAACTTATTCAGAACACTAAAAGCATGTAACTAGCACGAGATATAATAGCATATACATTTAATATGTACAGAAACTTGACACGAACCCAACAGATCACGCCATCTCAACATCATCTACAGCAATAGCTGCCTTCCTGACTCCATTACTCGCAGCACCTTTGTCATCAGCCATGAAAACATCAAGTTCTTGATCAAGCTGTTCCGCTGTGGGGGCTTTGGATCGCGTAGGCTTCGGAGCCTTAGTCTTCGATGATGATGGGGGAGCTCTTACAGATCGTGGTGGGCGAGTGCGAGTCGGACCGGCGCTAAGGATACGAGAATACAATTAGAAGAGTGTTCAAGAAAGATTTTTTACTCCTTACCCTCCCTGCTGTTTCGGTTCAGCACCGCCACTCAAGCGCTGCGCCAACGAAGGTCGTTCAATCCTACTCAAGAGCGAGGATGTTCGCAGAGGCGCGGTGTCGAATGCGATTTCCATAGGTTGTCCTGGCAGAAAAGAATCAGGACAAATGATTGAATTAGGAAACGTATCCGGGTGATACTGCGGACTCAAAACATACACCGACTAACAACACATACCTTTGGCAAGTTTACCATCAAACTGTCTTTTGGCACGCGTTGCCTGCAAGGGTGTCTCGAAAGACACAATTGCCACACCAGATGAGCGTCCGCTGCGGTCGTACTTTAAAAATTAAAAGCGAGTTTCAGGTTCAGTTTCGTTGTCATCTCCAGTATATGAGCCAGAAGCGAAAGCGATCCGGGTCATCCACAAGCATTGTCCGGTCCATGCGAGCGAGATAAAAACCCGGGCAGGAGGTGATGGGGTGTATTCGAATTCGGAATCATCGTACCCTGATCAATGGCTCGCGAACGAGCGTGCCTATCTGTCCGAAAATGGACTGAAGAGGGTGTATGAGACACTTGTCTGGTTATGAGTGGCATGAGAGACCTACCACCAAGTCTTTAGGCGTGATCTCGTAATGCAGGTTGGATACGATGAGCTTTGTGTTTGAAGGGGTGCTGGCTGGTGCATTTGATTTTGCTGATTGCAGAGGAGCTCGGTCGTGGACCCAATGACCATCGGACCCTCGAGGACGCTGTAGGCACCAATGGTTAGACACGACACACCAGCTATAAGATCAAACTTACAGTGTATGGCTTTTTCTGCCTTTCAGACCTGATGGGAGCCATAAAAAGTAATTATTTAGTCAAGAGATAAAGCAGCAGAGGAGAAGTAGCACGCTGTTGTTCAGGTAACCTTCAAAGAAATATCATTTCTCCAGAAGCTAATAAGCGGCGTTTGAATTCGGCAGTTTCCGGGCGCAGCCCCTGAGGAAGATGCTGGTCGCCGCCAAAATGTCGAATACGCATTTAGAGACTGTAAGATGGCTTTCATTATTATTGGCAGTCTGATATGATTGCAAGCAAAGTTCCAGCCACGAAAAACTACACGTAGTAAGGAAATGAGCATGCCCCACGGCAGTTCATGTGGCAGCTATGATGGATCGCGATGATGTCTTCGGCCACGGCATTCGAGAACGCGTCGCTCACAAGGAGATTGCACTTCGTAGCAGTTCATTTCACAACTTTCTCGCATATGAGCAGACTCTATTCTAAGTGTAAGTCCACTTTGCTACCGGAAAACGACTTACCAAGAAATCATGTTGTATCGAACGAATATTACAGCTCCAAACAGTGTGGCATGAACGCCTCTTTCCATCATTTATATCTACTCGATGTGAGAGGTTGTGCCAGAGCACAGAGTAAGGGTGATATCAGTGTTGCCGCAAGTGTAAACGACATTGTCAGCGGGTGTCCAGCCATCTGAACGGTTATTAGTTTCACCGCGTAGATGTTCGTAAGATGGAAATACATACTCGAGCCGTCGTTGTCAGGGAACGCATAGGCATTAAGACAAGTATCATAGTAGAATGCACTGTTCGGGCCAGGTCCCTCGTTGTCAGTACAGCCTCCTCCACTAGCGGGAAGCGCGCCGCCGCTGCACGCGCTTGCAGAGGAGCAGCACGGAGAGTAGCATGTATCGGATCCAGGTCCCGGAACAGGCTGAAACCAGTATGAAAATGTATGATGTCAAAACAGATAAATTACTTACGCAGCCGGATGAGATGGTGCAAGCGAAAACATCGCAGCTAGCATCAGCGGAGGAAATCTCCATTCCAACGTTATAGCCATAAATGAGCGAGATGTCATATGTCACGCTTCCAGGGATTGCGTACTACGCTTTTGAGTTAAAGATCATCTACCACAGCGCTTGAGACTCACAAAATTGAATTCGGCTCTGCTGAAGGGAGTGTTACCGTCCCAGGTAGGGCCACCAGTGGTACATGTGGAACCGCTGCATCCAGTACCTAGTGGCGCGGTCAGAAAGAAGCTAAGGAGGGATGTTACACACTTACCGACGTTGACAGCACCATCCCAGTTGGAACTAATGCCTAGGTTTGCACTCTGGCCTGCGGCGACGTTGACGTTGTTTGCGACAGAACCGTAGCTGGTCTGCGTGTACAAGAAAACAGATTCGCCGCAAGAGTTGACAACGTTCAGAGACTGGGCTTGAGCGACAGTCGCAACAGCAGCTACTAGAACTAAAGCAGAGAGAACAGACATTGCAAGTAATGATCAGACGACTTAGAGGCAGAGGATGATAATTACTGTTTGAACACTTCATGGACCTCTTTATACCAGATCTGTGAGCACGTCGGCGTATTATTGGAAGTGCGTACCAAAAACCAAGCCACAGGATTCTGTCACGCTAGAAGTAGCGGCAGGCTGCGGGAAGGCGGGCTCATCATTTTTTTCTCGGCAATGCTCATCGGAGACAGTGATCTGAGTGAGAACTTGATGAGGTATGCGGTAGTGGCTAAACTGAATTAAGTATTGCACGAAGGGGCTAAAAGAGGGCTAGATTCAAAATACCGCGCTCAAACATACTAGCAGCAGTAGATAGAAGAGAGAGAATTGTTACCGAGAGGTCAGGAATCTATTTATTTTTTCGACCGGTGAAAAGGACTTGTCAGTGAGACTCACCTCTCGAGGGCATCGGAAATAGGAGCGTTCCCGAAATGAGTATATGAATTATTTCCAACTCCGCGGCTTCTCTAGTAGTTCACTTGTCTTTCTTTCTGAATCTGAGGTCTTCCTTCAAGCAGAGTCAAGCGTATATATAACATATATATGACTAACTAATGATTCCATGGATGCCAGGTTGTCCAAATTAATGTCATTGGTGCTACCTCACGTACCTAGTAAGGATTAGAGGGACGACCTGGCATACCGTACGTGCTGGTTTTTTTGTTGTCGTGGCATCCGTCTGATTGGTTTTCAACTACGTCGGGAACTCAGTACTCAGGCCTCAGGACGTATTTTTGCAAAGTGCTTCGATGCATACGATGTCTGTACTCAAACCGTTAGGATCCATGTACACAGCCTCCACACATGATGGCATCGGAGTTTGATCATGTCGGTATGTATGAGCATCCCGCTGCGCAGGTGGCATAAAACGGTATTCTGATCGTAGCGTGCTTACCGGCGTCCTACTACATAGCGAGGCGCTGGTCACTGCGTCTTTATGTCCGCACCATCCCTGGCTCCACTCACGTTGCAGCGCGATGACACATTCTACATTTCTATTACCGTCTTCTTACTACGTGCAAGCCCATTACTGGACTAGGTTCATCATAGGCTTGATTCTGAATCTTTCAAGGCAGTTATCGCAGCTCTTCGGCTACCTATACTAGGCGTTGGCGTTCTCGTACATCGTGCCCTATTGATCGCAAATGGAACTTTTACGCGAGCATCTACAAGATTCACCATTTTGTAGCCCCCATCCCCGATCCACTTACACAATCTATCACATCTTTCAAAAAATCAAGGGTACATCTTCGCATCGTATCGCCCGCGATTGTCGCGCCGACTCGGTGCGCAAAACACCTGCTCTTGGTACCCACATGTTTCGGTTGAGTCCCTCAAAATAAAATCATCAGCTGTGCCGTTCAGGCACCGGGAAGTGAGTCTCTATCGCAGAGCATATCCTATGCTTTACTACCTAGATATCGCGACCGAGGAATTGGTGTACGGTCTTGTGTCGTATTGATATAGCGAGTATTTGTTGGCCTCAGAGAAAAGCGATGACTGCCCCCCTGGAGAATGTGGTTGCTTGTTCTGGTTCGGGTTGTCCTTCAGATACTGAAATGTCAAAAGCGTGGTCAACTGATTCGCGGTCTTCTTTCCTGTGCCACAGGGAGCGCCTCATCCGCAGGTTGAGGATACCGCTCAAATAACCTGGCTTGAAGCGCGTATTGCGAAGGGATATCTTAATGTGACGGACGGTCAGAACATGTGTTACTGTATGTGCCACCTTATCACTTCAAACTCTACTGGACGCGCTACTCTCATTCAATCTTCCAAGTTTGTTACATCAAACACAATATTCGTCTGATGCGTGAAATCGCATACGAAGACTCCGCTAACGACACCGACATCGACAAGCTAGAACCCTGAGACAAATTTAGGTCAAGCATGTCACGACCACCGGAGAGAAGCGGGCTCTCACTAGCTTCCGCAGTCTTTATGACAATCGCATTGGAGCATCATATCACAGAAGCTGATGGATGCAGGTAAGGAGCTACATCAAGCTAGTACATCCTCTTCCACTTGTAATAATAGCTGGTGAGTGGCAACAGTGATGCAGATTTGCTCGAACACTGGTTGTACTGGTTGTATGCACATTCCCAGCATCAGGCCGAGGACTACAAAAAACAATTTAGGTGCTACCTGAGTCTTCTGAGGAAGTTATTTTGGCAGCCTTTGACTTTTGGGGTGCTACCTAAATTTGACAAGTATACAAAATACTATAAATAAGTTGTTGTCATCAACTGCTGGGCGCCCAGCGGTGCATCATCCATCACGGGTGCAAGTCTTGTATTTCTGTCCGTCCATATTCTTGTTGAATATATATTCGCACTTACTTATAATTGAGTCTTCGACAACGTACTGCAGTACGATATTGATTTTAGTCTAGCCTACTAATGGTCTAGCCTACTGAACGTGGGATGCAGCTGTTTACTTGAAGAATAACTTGCTGCGTATCATCAGGTGGTCATAGTGTCTAACTTATCTTACCCGATAGTCTGTACCCACAGGAGCACCGGAACCTCTGGGGGCACTGCGGTTTCTGTGCTTCTCGGCTCCAAACTTAATATACTGAAGATGTGGGCTGAGTACCTTCCGTGATCTCGTGCATGTTGGATACAGTTTGAGGCGGCGTTGACTGGTGCAGCTGCATTTGCTGATTGCAGAGCTCAATCGTGAACCCACCGGTTGCCATCGGGCCCTCAAGGACGCGACACAGCCTAGCTACAAAATTCGAACTTACAGCATATCTTTTTTTCTGCCTGCCAGACTTGATATGGTCCGGTGAATGTGAGGGAATTGTTCAGTCAAGATATGAAAGCAACAGCAAAAGGAGAAGTCGTTGTTGAACCACACGATAAAGTCTAGGCGGCATTTGAATTAGGCAGTTTACGAACACAACCCAGGCTGAGGAAAAGTGGCGAGCTCAAGCAGAATAAGTATGGCACAAACGTACACCGTCATCCTCGTTTATCAAAAAGTTGACTTACAAGATGCGCATTAATGTTAGACAGTGAGATTGTAGATTAGAATCACAACTTACATCATTGAGTCACTCACGGGAGTAACGGGGTGAAGAGCGCCGGCGTCATCTCCCTAACGATTTCGTTGCTCCGCAGCCATGAACAGCGAAGCACATGAGGATACGGCTCGCATCAGGAAAAAGCCACCTCACTACATAGTATGTAGTATCCTTTTTTGTCAGGGTTTGTTGTCTGCCATTTTGGCAACGCTATCAGCTGTACTATCACATATCATTCTTCGATGGCAAGGACATTAGTTGCCTGAATACCTGTTTGACATCGTGAATCCATTTCCCATCCGAGTCGTCCTAGATGACACGCCAGGGCTCAGTATAGTCTAAGGCGAAGTCAGAAATGTCTGTAAGTATCTAGGATATGAGCACAACTCACATCAGTGAACTGGTGAACATATTAAAATACCATAGGAAACTATATATTGTTAACATTCACAGCAATCACCGTAAATCTGGCAGGGGGGTTTATTTTATAATGTTTGACTTTACAAAGGAAAGATGTGTTTCTATGTTCACCAATCAAGTTGTCCTATTCTCGATGTACCACCCCCTACTTGAATTGGTCTGCAAATGTAAGAAGCTGAAACGAGTCAAGGACGTGGATTTTGGGTCCATGATTGAAGAGACAAACACCAAGCGTACAATGTGAAAATCAGCAAATTTACGAAGAATTTCGTCTTTGGTCTACTTTCATTGCTGTTTGAAAAGGCATCTTTTAAATATAGCGCCTGAAGTTCCAGATAATCTGGCGTGTGACGTCTGATTCGCACAGTCATAGTGTAGGTGGGGTTTCATGCGCTGGTAGTCTCGATTGCACCACCGAACAAGATATTGCCATGTTGCTAGATCATCAAATTACAAACCACTCAACATCAGTAAAAAACCCTAAATGCCGTAGCCCGAGTGACAGCTATATAGCACTATGTAGGCACAGTAGCACTATGTAGTCACACCTTACACTACATTGTCCTATATAGTGTTATATAGTCTAAAGGCAAGCTATATGCGGCTATATAGTTACCACCCGTGCTACAGGTAGCTACAGGTAGCTACAGGAGCTACACGTCGTTGTATCTAATTACTTATAACACATGCGCAAAACATTTCGCCATCGATGAACTCGTTGAAATAAAAATCGTTCGCCACCTCGTATGCATTTCCGCTTCTCAACCTCAGATCTACTGTTGGTCCCATCTTCGGTATAAGGTGGCACGGCCGCACGATTTCGTCAACGTGGATTACAGCGGCGTTGCAGCGAAGTTGTCGTGTTGAGCGCGAGACCTGTCGCATTCGAGAAACAGGGTCTGGTGGTTTGAAAGGAGTGAACCACTCGACGTAGGCGAGGGCTCTGGAATATGCGCCGAACTGGCGAGGTAGGGTGAAAATAGCGCGAACTTGGGCTACACGTACACCTGCAACAAGACGATTATCAAAATTGACCGCTGAGAAACCCGGAAAAAAAATACCTTCAAGAGTATGGAAGTTAGAAGAGCGAGGCCTGTCTGCTATCAAGGCCATGTCAAACCGGGCTGGGATACCAGGCTTCCGGCCTGACGGCAACGTTTCTGGTGTTGCCCTGATCCGCCTTCGCTGTGGCACGTCGCTAACTCGTAAATCAGGTGGCGTCACGATCACCACTTGACGATAAAGATCGAATTGGTCTTGAAGTCCAGGGACTATGGTGTTGCACGGGAGATTCTTGAGCAAGAAGGATCGGAGAGCAGGGAGGAACTCGGTAGCACCGTGTGCTGTTATGATGGTTCCAATGGATTGGTGAGGATGTGTGGGGGCTTTCGCAAGGACATGTGTTGCTTGAAGTGGTTCAGCGGCGGGAAGATTTGGTGTTTCCGACTCCGAGTCCGTGTCCGAATCTGCGTCGAAGTTGTATGGGTTTGAATGACATCCGGTGAGACCCGCAGGTGACTTGGAGCAAGGCTGTTGGGACAACCAATCCAGGTATGCGCT